TATTTTATTTTATTTTATTTTATTTTATTTTATTTTATTTTATTTTATTTTATTTTGCCTTTGAAACAGCATTGACTCCTGGCGATTGCCTACACAAGTCCTGCGATGTTCTTGGCAACATTTTCAGACTTGGTTTGCCCTTGCCTCCTTCTTCCCAGGGCTGAGAGAGAGGGACTGGCCCAAGGTCACCCAGTTGGCTTTGTGCCTCAGGTGGGACTAGAACTCACCTTCTCCTGGCTTCTAGCCTGGTGCCTGAACCTCTATACCAGTGTTTCTCAACCTTGACAACTTTAAGATGTGTGGACTTCAACTCCCAGAATTCCCCCAGCCAGAGAGAAAAGGACTGGCCCAAGGTCACCCAGCTGGCTTTGTGCCTCAGGTGGGACTAGAACTCACCTTCTCCTGGCTTCTAGCCTGGTGCCTGAACCTCTATACCAGTGTTTCTCAACCTTGACAACTTTAAGATGTGTGGACTTCAACTCCCAGAATTCCCCCAGCCAGAGAGAAAAGGACTGGCCCAAGGTCACCCAGCTGGCTTTGTGCCTCAGGTGGGACTAGAACTCACCTTCTCCTGGCTTCTAGCCTGGTGTCTTAACCACTAGACCAAACTGGCTCTCACTGTTACCATTAGTGACGAATCATTTAAAGCTGCAGGTAGAAGGATAAATGGCCACCTACCCAGTAAGGGTGCCCTTATGTGTCCGCTTTGCTTTCACTCAGTTTCTTATTTCCCTTACATTAAATGTATTGTGTTCCATTGCTGCAACGGTTCTACATCTATATGAGAATTAGTCCACTTTTCTCAATATATACAGTCTTGGAATACTTACTTTACAGTATGCATATTCAAATGAAATCACATTTATTGTTACAGTCAAAGACCAGTAATATGTATGCATATTAGCAACTGATTATTTTCCTGAACGCAATACCTTTTTAGATGCGTGTTCCTCTAAGGCATGTATTCGTATTTGCATGTTCCCAATAGACCTGTTTTGTATGCAATTGTTTTCTGCATCAGAAAATTTGCGGGGTGGAGTGGAGAAATCAGATTTCTGCTTGGAACTATGTTCAGGTTCATGCACAGATTGGCTGAATGAATTTTAGCTGAAATTGGCTGAACAAATGTCTTTCCTATTCCTTCTCCAAGAATACTGATCAGTTCTTCTTGACTCAGAAAGATCTTAAATGCGTCTAGATCTCTATCTTAGCAAGTTAGCTTAACTGCTCCCTTTCCAGAGCACTTTCCCTTGCTCTGGCTCTGATCCTCCTCTACGGTCTGGATTACCTGTTCATATTCAGACTGTGGCTTGGAACTACATCAATCTCTTCCTCTTTCATCTTTTTCAGATCTCTTCTCTGACCCCCTCTCCCTCCACCACCTCTTCTCCTGGCCCCAAAGCAGGTTGAATTGTTGGATGGTAGGAATATACAAATCTTTCTAGTTCTAGATAGCTCAAATCTTTCTAGTTCTAGTTCTAGTTCTAGTTCTAGTTCTAGACAGCTTGAAACCTTCAGGCCATATGTGGTTTCCCCCTC